CCCGGCCCAGCTCCGTGAGCAGCCAGGGCTAGGGTGGAGGGCTCTGGAGCATCCTTGAGGGCAAGGGCTGCAGCTCATGGAGCCACCCAGGGCTGTGAGGGTGCCTCAAGCACCTGCCCCAGCACAGGGACAGCTGAGGACCTGCAGAAAGGGGTGAGGGGGTGTGCACAGTGTGAGGGGGGCTCAGTCAGCCCTGAAACCAAGGTCCCAGGAATCAGGGTGTGCGTGGCCCTGGCAGAGGTGCTGCTGGGCTGTGTGAGGTGGGGGATGAGGAGGGAGGAAGAGCTGGCAGAGCTGGGCAGCTGCTGTCCTAGAGCACCAGGGCCAGGCTGCAGAGCAACGGGGAGAGGCAGGCGCGCTCTGCCCTCCAGCATCCTTCCCCCCAACAAGTCTTGCTCCTCCTCCAGCCTTAAAGCCATGCACCACCCCACCAGCTTGAGAACTCCTCAGCTCATTTCACATGAGAAGAGCAGGGTTGGAAGCCCAGAGAGCTCTCCCTGGCCCACCCACGTACCGGTGACTCTCCCATCACCCTCTCGCCGTTGTTGATCCTCATGACCCCTTTGCGCCCATTCCTCTCCAAGGAGACACTGATCCAGGTGTTGAGGGGAACAGGCTCCCTGCTCCTGGGGGGAGAAGAGAGGAGAAGACACACAGGTGACAGCTCTGTTGTCACCAACACAGTGCTGTCAACCTCCCCTGACCAGCCTGGGCTGCCCAGGTCACCACAGCTTGAACCAGCCTGGGCTGCCCCAGCTCCCAGCCACACAAGACAGCCCAGCAGCAGCCTGGGCAAGAAGCACCAGCCAGGGGCAAGCCCAGCTCTGCCCTGTCCCATGGAGGGGCAGCCAACCAAGGGCCATTGATGCCAAAAGCCAAGGCCAGGATGAAGCCTGCTCCACTTCATTCCCTTATGGTTTTCCAGGGAGGAGAGCTCAAAGGCCACACTGGATGCCAAAAGCCACCCCTGTCCCTCAGAGAATCACAGAGTGGTTTGGGTT